CTCTCTCCCCTCACAAGCCATCACGGCTTCCGCCTCTGCCCCTACTATACCACTCATGGCTTCCCTCTCCCCTAACCGATCACCTGGCCTTCTCTCTCCTCTAACCGATCACCGGTTCCTCTCCTCCCCTACACCATCCGGCTTCTCCTCTCCCTCTAACCATCCCACGGCCTCCCCTCTCCTCCTCTCAGGCAATGTCCGCCGGCTTTCCCTTCCTCTCTCCCTCTACACCCCTTACAGCTTCCTCTCTCTCCTATACATCACGGCTTCCTCTCTCCCCCTAACCCTCATCTGGCTTCCTCTCCTCTCTCTCTCTCTCTCTAACTCCTCATCGGCTTCCTCCTCTCCTCTAACCCTCAGGGCTTTCCTCTCTCGTCTCTAACCACAGCTCTCCTCTTCCTCTCTCGTATTATAGCTGCTAACTTAAATAATTAGTATTAATAGGTATTAGTCATTAACAGTCGTATCTAGTAACTAATAGTGTACTTAATCAAACAATATTGTAAATTGTTAATTAGTAAATTTATATAGTTTAATTAATAATCAAATCCATATAATACAAAATAAAACTACCCAACATAACTTTTCAGTGGTATAAACGTAGCTATTCTCTCACCTCCGATAGGCCATGCCGCCTTATTAGCATGCCTATGTGGCAACAGTCTTACAACATTTGCTGCCATCAATCCCTTGCACTATCACACGAAATTATCTGTCGCATCACTGAGTTTCACTACACAGAAAATCTGTGCCTCACTTCGTGATTATCAACGGCTGCCTAAAGTCGGATGCTCACAGGCCTGCGTGGCTCATGCCTATTCTAGTTTCCTTTCCAACAACTAGACTTGGTTGGCAGCTGCAATTGACATTCAAGATCAGTTCCCAAACGTACAGAATCACAACATATAAAGACTAATTGTAAGTTTCATCCATATGAAATTAATCCGCCGCCGATGTGTAGAGAGCGTCTGTTCAAATGTAATTTCTGTGCATCGCAAATTGACTCTCCATGAGCACCTTTATAGTCTTCCACCGATCACACAAGTAACCATCCACACACAGTTCAGTCCTTTGCTTAACACTCAACAAACCATCTTTAACCCTCCCTTGAAGCTCAAAAGGTTTATCAAGACACTCACTCTTCGCCCACCCACATTCTCATGCGCCTTTCATACGAAGCTGATACAATGTAGGTCAGCACCTGAACAAAAAGTTTTTTCACTCTGCTCCATTAGGCCATTGTCCTTCAGTCAAAATGTCTGATATCTGACTTTTCCCCACGCCCCTCCTTGACCTGTGCACCTCCCAATCTTCCGCACGTGCCTTCGCATCGGTTTTCCGTGGCCATCACACCTATACACCGACATATTAAGACATAGGCTCGAGGCCGCTTCAGATTTCTGCCGCAATTCCGTATTTTCCTCTCTATACCTTAAGTAAGGGGGGAAACTATGTCCCCCCTCCGTCTTACACATCTTGAACTTGACCACTCTCGACGCCCAACAATATGTCATCCGCTCCTTTTCACGCCCTTCCACCGTCCCCCCCCAACGTCCCAAATCTCGTGCATGACGCGTACGTCGAGCATTAAGATCTTGTGCCCAACTCGTGTGACGGACGCACCTGACGACGCCACTCGCTCATGCGACTTCTACAAGCTGCATCTGACATTCGTCAGTATGGAGCCTGAACAAAAGTGAACCAGAATTAACTTACATTTTGTGAAAAAGGCGAAATATTTCTCTTGTACTTTCCTACTTTACGGCCGACGTAATCCTTTTAATTCTATTCCATAACGCGCTCTGCGAAACATTGCCTGACTGAATATATGATCACTCACTGTGCTGCACGGCCCCTGCATGGTTCCCTTTTTGCAATTGTCACACCGTGACTTCACTGAAGTCTTTTCGATGGTAAACCTAAAGCTCCGTCTCTGCTCTCAGTCTTGGTGCTATTATTCTCTACCACCTGTTCTCCTTTGCACTGAAAATTCAATATTTA